AGGTGCTCCTATTTTGGGTGCATAGATATTTACAAGCATTATATCCTCTTGTTGGATTGTTCCCTTTATCATTATGTAGTGCCCGTCTTTGTCTCTTGTTAAAGTTTTTGTTTTGAAGTGTATTTTGTCTGATATAAGTATTATATAAGTACTGTTACCCCCAGCTTTCTTTTCTATGCCATTTGCTTGGAGTATCTTTTTCCATCATTTCACTTTCAGTTTGTGAGTGTCTTTAGGTCTGAGGTGCGTCTGTTTTATGCAGCATATACATGGGTCTTGTTTTTTAATCCAACCGGCCACTCTATGCCTTTTCATTGGAGCATTTAATCCTTTGACATTTAAAGTAGCTATTGATAAATATGTACCTATTACCATTTTGTTACTTTTTCTGGGAGTTTTAGTAGTACTTCTCTGTTCCTTTCTTCTTCTATTGCTCTCTTCCCGTGTGGTTTAATGACTTTCTTTAGTATTATATTTGACTTCCTTTCTCTTACTTATTTGTGTATTTATTATTGGTTTCTGCTTTGTGATTACCATGAGGTTCACATATAATAACCCGTGTACATAGCAATCTATACTGAGTTAATGGTCTCTTTAGTTTGACCTCTTTCTAGAAGCTCAATTCTTTTACTCCTCTCCTCCCACATTTTATGTTTTTCCTCTTTTATAGGAAGATTAGCCCTGACCTAACATCTGCCACCAATCCTCCTCTTTTTGCTGAGGAAGACTGACCCTGAGCTAACATCCGTGCCCATCTTCCTCTACTTTTTATATGTGGGACGCCTACCACAGCATGGCTTGACAAGCAGTGCCGTGTCCACACCCGGGATCCAAACTGGAGAACCCTGGGCTGCTGAAGCGGAATGTACGAACTTAACAACTGTGCCACCAGGCTGGCCCCACATTTTATGTTTTTGATGTCATATCTAACCCTGTATTTTGTGTGTGTGTATCCATTACCCTCTTATCATTCAAACAGTTAATTTGAGTACTTTTGTCTTTTAACCTTCATATTATCTTCATAGGTGGTTGATCTGCTACTGTACTGTAGTTTTGCCTTTCCAGTGATTTTATTGCCTCTTTTTGGGATACTTTTCTTATTCCTATTTGTAGTCTTCTCTTTCCCACTTAAATAAGTCCCTTCAGCCTTTCTTGTAGAACTGATTTCTTGGTGATAAACTCCTTTAATTTTTGCTTGTCTGGGAAAACCTTTACCTCTCTTTCCATTCTGAGTGATAACCTTGCTGGCTATAGTATTTTTGGCTGTAGGTTTTTTTTTTTCCTTTCAACACTTTAAGTATATTGTGCTGCTCCCTTCTGGCCTGTAGGGTTTTGGCTGAGAAGTCAGCTGATAGCCTTATGGGGTTTCCTTTGTATGTCACTTTTTGTCTTTCTCTTGTGGCTTTTACGATCCTCTCTTTGTCTTTAATTTTGGTCATTTTAGTTGTAATGTGTCTTACAGTGGGCCTCTTTGGGTTTATCCTGTTTGGTTCTCTCTGTGCTTCCTGTACCTCAGTGTCTGTTTCCTTCCTTAGGTTAGGAAAGTTTTCAGCTATTATTTCTTCAAAGAGATTCTCTTCCCCTTTGTCTCTGTCTTCTTCTTCTGGGACATCTATAATATGAATATTAGTGCACTTGATATTGTCCCAGAGTTCCCTTAGACTGTTTGGGTTCTTTTTAATATGTTTTCTTTTATCTGTTCATCTCGGGTGTTTTCCTCTAGTCTTTCATCCAGCTCACTGATCCATTCTTCTGTATCATCTACTCTGCTATTGAGTCCCTCTAGTGAATTTTTCATTTCCAGTATTGTATTCTTCATTTCTGGTTGGTTCTTTTTTATATTTTCCAATTCTTTGTTGACATTCTCACTGTGTTCATCCAGTCTTCTCCCAAGATCAGTGAGCATCCTTATGAGTTTTTGTTTGAACTCTTTGTCAGGCAGATTGCTTATTTCTGTTTCATTTAGTTCTTTTTCTGGAGTTTTGTACTGTTCCCTTGCTTGAAACGTATCCCTTTGCCTCTCATTTTGTCTCTTTCTCTGTGCTTATATGTATGTATTAGGTGGGTGAGCTATGTCTCCTGATCTTGGAGAAGTGGCCTTATGTAAGAGACCCCTTTTGAGGCCCAACAGTGTGCTTCCCCCTTGTCGCCAGTTCCAAGTGTTCCAGGAGTGACCTCTGTGTGGGCTACACGTGTCCTTCTGCTGTGGCAGGGTTGCTCTTGCTGCAGGTGCACAGGCAGGCTAGGCTTTCTCTCCCTGGCCAGCTGTTTGTAAGTCTGGTTTAGGGAGCCCCAGCACAGTTGGCTGCAAGGTCTAATAGCACACTCCTGTTACAGTTGTTCTGTTCGGTGAGTAGGCCCCCAGCTTGGCTGGTTGCTAGGTGTAGGTGATTACAATTTCTATAGTCCTCAGGCCTTCAAGGCTCTTGTCAGCTCTCTCAGGATTGCAGCTGAGTGGGGCTGGCCCTAGGCACAGGACCACCTGATTGTTTCAGGCTTTGGAAGGTGGGGCCAATCCCCTACATGGCTGTTTGAGAAGCACAAGTTTTCTGCCACAGATAAGCCTCACCCCCCAAGGGTCCTCACCCAATCTCAACACAGTCCTGGCCCATGCACACATCCCGGCCCCCTGGAGCATACCCCTTCACCCCACTGCAGAGGCCCCCACACTCTCTGCCAATGCCCCCCACATTCTATCTGCTCCTCACGCAGGCCCTGCCCCCCAGAGGTGGACTCACTCATCTGCCTGCAGAGGCTCCAGGCACCCAGTCTATGTAGACCAACAAGTAGCCTGAGGGCTTGCTGTCGGGTGGGGCCAGTCCCTAGGGCAGGCTGCCCGCCCTGGCTGAGCTGGATTAAATCAGTGCTCTAGTGGGTGTGGCAGACCCTGGGCTGTCAGGCCAGGGGAGGAACTCCAGTGGTGTCTGCCAGTGTCTGTGTCAGCACACCTGTACCAGGTCACTACAATGGCTGCTGCCACTGTCTCAGTCCCCAGAGAGGTCTCACCTCTCACTGAGATCCACCCAGAGCCTACAAGGTGAGTCTCTTTTGGCCAAAGGACTGTGCACCTTTCTGGTGATTTTAGGTTGCTGTCTGAGATGGATGAATTTGGGCATGGGCCCTTTAAGAGCTGAGTTTTTCCATTTATATCCCATAGCTTTTCTGGGGGTATTCCCCATTGTAGTTAACAGCCAGCAAAGCCAGATATTATGAGACTCGTCTCAGTTGTGCTGAGTCTGAAGGATGCTTATAGCAGTATCAGGCCCCCAGTCAGGTCCCCATTTCTCCAGAGAGGGCTGTGTACCTTAGGTTTGCTCCCAGCTTGCCAAGAGTGAAGCTCTGTGGCTCCTGAAGGTGGTTTTTTTCTCTCCAGAAAGGAATTTCTGCCTCTTCCGCCTTGGTCAGGACTGTCCCTTATTGTGGGGGTTCTTTTTATCCAGTTTTTGCTTCTTTCTCAGGGTCAATTTTTCCAAGAAGAGTTGTAACCTGGTTGTGTTCGTGGGAGGATGTGGGTTCATAGTCTGCCTACACTGCCGTCTTGAGGAGATCTCTGATGTTTATTTCTTAGAAGTCTCTTCTTCTCTCCCTCATAAATCTCCAATTTGTGGATGGAACAGGGTGACAGGGCTACCCTGTCTATGAAATCATCTCGGCTCCCAGGTGCCTTCCATCTTGTTGTTTTTCCATCCCTCCGTGTGGAGGTTTTCCAAAGCATCACCCCCGTGGTTAAGGATAGATCACCTCACTCTGTCCACATTCTTCTTTCCCCAGGGGAAAGGGGAAAGGAGGAATGAAGGACGTGCTCCTTCTTTTTAAGGGCATGGCCAAAAGGTGCACATATCACTTCTGCTCATTTCCTTTGGCTGAAACTTAGCCACGTGACTGCACCTAGCTGCAAGAGAAGCTGGAATTGCAGCCTAACTGGATGGTCATGTTATTCAAAGGAAGAGGGGGAGATGGGGGTCGGGGCATAGCCACTGTTCTCTGCTTCGAGGTTTCCTATGGGAGCTTTAACCCGGGTAGTCCTTGCTCCAAAGGCTGTAACTTTGACTCTCATACTCTTCTGTCTGGAGCCCCAGTGCTTATGGTGTGGTCCATGGACCAGCATCATTCAGGCGCTTGTTAGAAATGCAGAATCTCAGGCCCTTCTCAGACCAGCTGAATCAGCATCTGATTTTCCAAGATCGCTCAAGGATACCAGGCGCAGCAGATGATACTGGTCCATGGACCACACTTGGAGAAGCAAGGGTCCAGATCAGTATTTCTCGCACTTTCATGTGCACACAAATCATCTGAGGATCTTGCTAAAATGCAGATTCTGATTCAGGAGGTCTTGGGCAAGGCCTGGGACTTTGTATTTCCATCAAACTCCCAGACATTGCTGATGTTGCTGGGCCATGGACCACACTTTGAGTGGCAAAGGTCTGGGGTCTACAGGGTCCTTGACTGAGCTGGTTCTTAGGGCAGCTGTAACAAGTTATCACAAACCGGGTGTCTTAAAACAACAGAAATTTATCCTCTCACAGTTCTGGAGGCCAGAAGTTTGAAACCAAGGTGTCAGCAAGGCCATTCTTTCTCTGAAGCCTCTAGAAAAGAATCTGTTCTGAGGCTCTCTGCCAGCTTCTGGTGTCGCCAGCAATCCTTGGCATTCCTTGACCTGTACGTGTATCATTCCATCTCTGACTCCATCGTCCCATGGTATTCTCCTTAAGCCTGTCTCTGTGCCTCTTCTCCTCTCCTTATAAGGACACCAATCATATCCGATTAAGGGACCACCCTACTCCAGTATGATCTCAACTAAACTTACATCTTAATTGCATCTTCAAAGACCCTATTTCCAAATAAGCTCAACTTCTCAGGGACCAGAGTTTAGGACTTCAACATATCTTTTTGAAGGACACAATTCAACCCACAACGGTTTCCTTCCCTCTCAAACGCTGGCTTCCTCTGCAGCCCCACTCTGGTGTGCTAATACAAACTCTTCCTTCTACACTGCCTAGAAACGAATGAGTGTGTGGATACCACCATCTGCCCAGCTTATGCAACCTGCACTGACACTTCAAAAAGTTATTACTGCAGCTGCAAAAAAGGATTCCTGTCTAGCAACGGACTGGCACAGTTCCAGGGCTCAGGAGTGGAATGCAAAGGTGAGTTCACGCCCCCTCAAAGGTGGTAGGAAAATCAGGTGGAAGCTAGCTGGCGCGGCAGGTGTAAGTACTTTTCCTTTTTTTTCCCCCAAATATTATATTATTTCCTCCCTTCCTTCTTTCCTTTCTGTCATGAGACTTATTCCTGGTCACTAAAATTTCCAGTGATTAGAAAGCCACATTAGGATGCGCCTTCAGTCACCCCTCCACGCAGATAAGAAGAATTGCTAACAGTTATTGAGTGCCAGGCCCCGTGTGAAGGGCTTTATGTGCATTTTCACCTTAAATCGACTATGAGCGTTGTGATGATCTCCATTGTCCAGATGAGTAAAGTGAGGATTGGAGAGCTGAAATGACTTGTTGAAGGTCATGCAGTTGACCTGGAATTCAAACCCAGCTGTTTCTGACTCTAACCATGTCTGTCAACCATCTCACCCAGTTGCCACACTCTAGTTAAGAGGTATTGGGGAAACATATTTAATCTCTCTAAGCCTCAATGTTTCCATCTGTAAAATGAGTGTATAAGAGCATCTACCTCAAAGGACAGTTGGGAAGATTAAATGCAACAATGTATGCAGTATCCTAGGTGCATGTACAATATCAAGTGCTATATTAACATAAATGATATGATTCCCAGAAGGAGCTAAGTTCTTTGTCCCTATTCCTTATATCTAGACCCTAATTCTCCTCTTGACAGTAAAGATCTGATTATGCCTCTGAATAAGCCCAGTGGTTGGTAAACTTTCTATAATGGGCCAGATAGGACATATTTTGGAAGTTGCAAGCTGTATGGTCTCTGTCATGGCTACTCAGTGCTCCAGTCGTGGTGCCAAAGCAGTCGTAGATGATACATAAATGAATGGATGTGGCCATGGCTGTGTTCCAATAAAACTTTATTTACACAAACAGCTGCCGGACCGGATTTGACTCATGAGATGCAGTTTGCTGAGTTCTGAGGCAGATAATTCATTTCTATCACTGTAGTTTTTAGGGAGATCAAAACATCCTTCTTTATGTTTGGGCTACAGTTCATGGGTTATTCCATCAGCTCACTAGTGCTCGTAGACCCTGGTGTTTAAATCTGGGGTGAAATCAATATTCCCCGTGTAGAAAATGATGGCTACTACAGCAACAATTTTCGTCCACTCTGTATCTTTGACCCCCAGTATGGTTCCTGACACATTGTGAGTATTAAATAGATATTTCTTGAATGAAAGAACGTGAACCTTGTTCGTTAGTCAACTCTAATCCGTCCTTCTGTTGACAGGCACTTAGATTGTTTCTAATGTTTTACGACTTCAAACAAAGCTGAATGAGGATCCCTGTGACCTCATCTTGAAGCACAGTGGCAGCTCAAGATTTCTCTCTGAGAGAGGTGCAGTTGACTTGGAGGGTGCCCTAGGAGATATGTCTTGAAATTGTGCTTGCATGACAAGTACATAGCAAATGTTTATTTAGGGTAACTTGGCAGAGCATGGCTGAAGCAAATTTGGGGAAGGCCAACCCATGGTACCATGACTGCAAAATTCCATGGGTGCCTTAATGAGTAAATTCCTAGAGGTGGCTTTGCAAGGTGTTCTAGTTATCCATTGCTGGGTAACAGGCCACCTGCAAACTTAGAGCATGAAAACAACAGCAGTCATTTATTTCGCTCGTGAATGAGCCCATTTGGGCTGAGTTTAGAGAGGATGGCTTGTCTCTGTTCCACACAGTGTCGGTTGAATTGGCTCAACTGGAGGCTGGAGGATTCACTTTGAAGAGCGCCCCATCACAAGGCTGGCAAGCTGGTGCTGGCTATTGGCCGGCTGCTCCCCCAGGGCTGTGAGATGGAGATCTTAGTTCTTGTCCATGTGAGCTGCTTTTTGATGGCTTGTTAGGCTTCCTCAAAGTATGGTAGCTCAGTTCCAAGAATGAGTATCTCAAGACGACAAGGAAGTAGATTATATTTTTATGACCTGGATTGACTTCCACTATAGTCACAAGCATCCTGAGATTCATGGGGTGGTAACATAAACCCCCACTCCTTGATGGAAAGAGTATCAAATTCACACAGAATGAAGGGCATATGAGATGGAAAACATTGTTTCAACCATCTTTGGAGAATAAAATCTACTGCAGAAGATGAGGCAACTTTGTAACTCCAATTCTTTCTCTATCCAGATATAGATGAGTGTTCTAAGAGGCCCACACCATGTGGTGCTCACTCAGTCTGCAAAAACCTGCCTGGGAGATACAAGTGCAGCTGTTTGCCTGGTTTCTCTTCTCCCACTGGAAATAACTGGAACCCGGCAAAGCCAGGTCATTTCTCCTGTACAGGTAATCCTCTCGGTATCTCAGGTGTGGTCTTTCGTGGATGGCTACCATTGAGTTGGGTACCTGTGTTTCTCACCTTAGACACTCATTCTTTTGTCTGCTCGCTCTCCTCCACTGCTCCTCAGACATCAACGAATGCCTCTCCAGCGGGGTCTGCCCAGAGCATTCTGAGTGCACCAACTCCTTGGGAAGCTACCGTTGCACCTGCCTACCTGGATTCTCTTCTAGAAACTCCATCTGTGAAGGTAAAGAGGACCTGCCCTTCTTATTGAGTAGGACCTGCCTACTCAATTAAGAATCACCTCAATTCATGATGCTGTGAGGTAGGGATCATGATCCTCAGTTTAGGAGTGAGAACATTGAGGCTCAGAGAGGTGAAGTGACTTGCCCAAGGATGCACAGCTATTAAGTGGAACAACCAGGATTTGAGCTTCTGTTGAGGGAACACTGTAGGTTAGGCAGAGCATCAGGCAGTATTTCAGAGTAACAGGATGGTGGTCGCTCTGTCCACAGAACACTTTTCTCCTCAGGGGACATTAGTAATGTCTAGAGGCATTTTCAATTGTCACACTGGTGGTGGTGGTGGCGTTGTGTGTGCTACTGTCATCAAAGGAATAGAGGCCAGAGACGCTGCTAAACACCCTACAATGTACAATACTGCTTCCCACAACAAAAAAATGATCTGGTCCCAAATGTCAGTAGGGTTGAGGTAGAGAAACTCTGTGCTAGGGAGAACTGAGACCTGGACCTCAGAACTTTTTCCCAAAAGATATTTGAATTAAGGCCTGAGAGTTACCCTCATTCTCCTTTCCCTTCCATGTTAAGTCAGTCATTACGTCTTGGGGAATCTACCTGCTAAATCTGTCTTGAATGTCTCGACTCTTCTCCATCCTTGGCTCTGGCTTCATGTTTTCTTCATCTTTACTGCTCCTCATTTCTCCAGTCTTGTCCCCTCAAATACATCCTCCACACTGCCTCCAGAATGTTCTCACTGAGTCGCCAGGGCTCCATCCTCCTGAGTCCACTGAGGTTCTATTGTTCTCTACGTTTTCTTATAGGGACGATGACTCCACCCAGCATGGCATGGAGTGATCAAGCCCTCATCACAGCTCCGTGGCTTGGACTCAGAGATATCTGAAGTCATGTCTTCTTTTACTAGTGAATTCCTAGCAGTTAGCTATTGCTGAGGAGCAAATTACCCTAAAAGTCAATGGCTAAAAACAACAACCATTTCTTTTTAGCTCTTGATTCCATGCATGGGTGGTTCAGGTGGGGCTCTTCTGGTTTGTTCTTTGAGTCTCAACTGTTCCTCTTCCTGTGTCTGTGGTCAGCTGTGGTTGGGCGGGGCTGGGCTGTCTCACACGACTGGGGCTCATCTGGGATGATCCATTTCTTCCATCCTTCATTCAGCTAGTCTAGGGCTTGTTCAGGTGGCAGAATGAAGAGGCCTAAGGCATAGGTGGAAGAAAATAATCCTCTGGAGGTTTAAGTTTGGAACTGGTACCACATCACTTCTTCTGCATTCTATTGGCCAGTGCAAGTGATAGGGCCAGCTGGATGAAGGGGTGGAAAACAAACTCCACATTTAAAGAGAGGAGAGGCCAAGTCATATTGTACTGCACAAGCCACATCCTGAGGTGTGGCTATACGTATATATTCGTGGCCAGTGAAGTACCACACTCTTGGCAGATATTTTTTGGATATATGAATAGATGGATAGATGGATGGATAGATGCATAGATACATAGATGGATGGATGATTAAAACGAATGGACAAAGAAAGAAAGGAATAAACAGTTTACTTTGTTCTCTATGCAAAAAAAAGGGGGGGTACTGCGGCCATTTCTGCAAACTATGATCGTTATGTTTTGAAATCATTTGTCACCCTTTTGCTTACATACTATCGGCCAGAATTTATTCTCATGGTCCTCCCTAACTGCAAGGGAGGTTAGGAAGAAGGGGAGAACTTGGGTATTGGGGAGCCTCAGTGCTGTGTGCCACAACTTAAGAGCATGTAGAGTGAATATTCACTTACCATGTCCTTTCCAAATTTCCTGCTCTGCCTTGATCCCGGTTTTCTCTTGCACTCTCCAGATGTGGATGAATGTGCAGATCCCAGATCTTGCCCAGAGCATGCGACCTGCCACAACAGTCTTGGCAGCTACTCTTGTGTCTGCAACCAAGGATTTGTTTCCAGCAGTGGAAACGTGAGGTTCCAGGGCCAGGGAGAGACGTGTGAAGGTAGGTGGAGGGGTGTGTTGGGGAATTAGGTCCCAGACTGTTTACAAAGGCAACACTGGTGGAGCACGAGTCGGGGTGGGTCTTGGCTGTGTTCAAAGACCTCATCAGCAAAACTGAAGACAATAATCACTCATTCACTCTTCAACCCATACTTTGAGCATGTGCAACATGGCTGGTTCTATTCTGGGGATGGCAGATACAGCAGTGAATAACACAGGCAAAAACGTTTGTTCTCCTGGAATTTATTGTCTAGTGTGGGGGAGATAGTTAACAAAATAAAAATGTATGAAACCTTTCTGTGTTAGGGAAAGTTAAAGGCGGTGAAGACCAATAAGGCAGGAAAGGCAGTTAGAGAGTGCTGTGGTCTAATTTTAAGAGAGTGGTAAGAAAAGGCCGTGCTGAGAATTTGATATGTGAGAAAAGATCCGGTGGAAGTGAGGGAGTGAGAGATTGGGTGTCTGGGGAAGAATGTTCCAGGAGGAGGCAAGAGAAGATAGAAAAGTCTGGAGGCAGGATCCCAGCCAAGCCGCTAAGCTCTCCCATCAGTGTGCTCATTCGGTCCTCCCAACAACCTGACGGTATCGGTTTGATTTTACACCCATTTCACAGATGAGGAAACTGAGCTTCCATTGTGGTTGAATCACTGTCCCAAGGTCGAATAGGTAGGAGGTAGGAGAGTCAGGATCTGACTTTGCCTGGGTGTGGCTTCACAGCACGTGCTCCCACCACCATGCTAATTTGCCTCCAAATGAGGCTGCAGCCTCTGGCAGCTCACGATGGGCTTGCATAGGACACATATCAGTTTAATCACCACATTTCCAGTCTCTGAGGTTCCGACGACCTGGGAAGCTGTCGTCTGAAACTTCCAGAGCTGCTCAGAACCTGGATTCCAATCATAATTGTGCCTTTCACAAGCTATGCGATGTTGCACAATTTTGAAGTCTCAGTTTCCTCCTCTGAAAAATGGAAATATCAGTTTGCACCTCGTTGGGCTGCTCTGAGCATTCGTTGAGCTGATGCGTGTGAAGTATCTACCTCAATGCCTGCCACAAAGAAAGCTCCACATGTCAGCAGTGAATTTTGTCTTTTGGTTAACATTTGCTTTCATAGTAATTGCTATGCTCCAGGCTCTGTTCAGAGCGCTTTACAGAGATCACCTGAGGAAACTGAGACACACAGAGATGGATTCTCTGTCCATTGTATTAGGCAGTTCAGGCTGCATAACAAAATATTGTAGACTGGGGGCCTTAAGCAACAGAGACTTATTTTCTCACAGTTCTGGAGGCCAGAATTCTGAAATCAAGCTGTCAGCAGGGTCATGCTTTCTCTGAAGACTCTAGGGGACAATCTGTTCTGAGGCTCTCTCCCAGCTTCTGGTGTTTCCAGCAATCTCTGGGTTCCTTGACCTGTAGATGTGTCATTTCCATCTCTGACTCCATCATCATGTGGTGTTCTCCCTAAGCCTGTCTCTGTGCCTGTTTTCCTCTCCTTATAAGGATACCAATCATATCTGGTTAAGGGACCATCCTACTCCAGTACGATGTCTTAACTTACATCTTAAGCACATGTACAAAGACCCTATTTCTAATAAGTTCACATTCTCTGAGACTAGAGGTTAGAACTTCAACATATCTTTCTGGTGGCCATAACTCCCCACAACAGTTGCCTGTACGATCTCTGTCAATGATGACTCAATGCTCCAGTTGTGTTGCTAAAGCAGTCATAGATGATACATAAATGAATGGATGTGGCTGTGTGCCAATAAAACTTTATTTACACAAACAGATGAGGGGCCAGATTTGACCTATGGGATGTAGTTCGCTGAGCTCTAAATAAGATCATTCATTTCTACCACCGGAGTTTCCAGAGTGCCCCAAACCTCCTTCTTCATCTTTGGGCTACAGTTCATGGGTTATTCAGCCTTCTCAGTAGTGCCGGTGGACCCTGGTGTTTAAATTTGGGGTGAAATCAATATTTCCCATCTAGAAAATGCTGGGTTCTACAGCAACGATTTTGTCCACTCTGTGTTTCACCCTCAGTATGGTGCCTGATACATTGCAAGTATTAAATGGATATTTGTTGAATGGAGGAACATGAATTTTATTCTTTACATCGACTCCAGATTGAATCACCTGTCAACTGACAGGCACTTAGTTTGTTTCTAATGCTTTACAACTTCACACAAAGCTGGGGTGAGCATCCCTGTGATGGTATCTTGAAGTTCAGTGGCCGCTCCAGTTTTCTCTCTAGGAGAGGTGCAGTTGACTGGGAGGGACATATAGGAGACTTGCATTGAAGTTGTGCTTGCACGAGAGGTACACAGCAAGTGTTTCTTTGGGGTGATTTGGCAGAGCGGGGTTGAAAGACGTTTGTGCAAGGCCACCCCTTGCTCCCATGACTGCACAATTCCATGGGTGCTTCAATGTGTCGGTTCCTAGAGGTGGCTTTGCAAGGTGTTCAAGTCATCTGTTGTTGCATAACAGACCCCCTGCAAACTCAGTGCATGAAAACAACAGCAGTCATTTATTTTGCTCACAAACGAACCTGCTATTTGGGCTTGGTTTGGAGAGGATGGCTTGCCTCTGTTCCACACTGTGTCAGTTGAGTTGGCTCAACTGGAGGCTGGAGGAATCAGTTTGGAGAAGGCCCACTGACAAGGCTGGCAAGCTGGTGCTGGCTGTTGGCTGGCTGCTCCCCCAGGGCTGCGGGCTGGAGGTCTTAGCTCTTGTCCATGTGAGCTGCTTTTTCACGGCTTGTTGGGCTTCCTCAAAGTATGAGTGAAGTTCCAAGAATGAGTTCCAAGAATGAGCATCTCAAGAGAACAAAGAAGTGCATTGTATTTTTATGACCGAGTGTGAGATTTTTGTGACGTTGTCTAATACTTTTATGACCTAACATGCAGTTTTTACGACTTGGTGTCACATCCCCCGTAGTCACAAGCATGCTCGTATTTAAGGGGTGGGAATATAGACCCCACTGCTTGGTGGATGGAGTACAAAATTCACACTTAATGACGGGCATATGGGATGGAAAACATTGCTTCCGTCCAATGAACAGAACATCTTCCCACAACCAAAAATGCTCCAGTCCCAAATGTTAGTAGTACTGATGTAGAGAAACTCTGTGATAGGGAGAGCTCAGACCAAAACCTCAGAACTGTTTCCTAAAAGGTATTTGAATTAAGGGCTGAGAGTTACCTTCATCCTCCCTCCCCTTCCATATTAAATCCGTCATTATCTCTTGGAGAATCTCCCTGCTACAGACGTCTTGAATGTTTCCACTCTTCTCCATCCTTGGTTCAGCCTTCATCCTTACTATGGCAGCATCCTCACTGGTCTCTCCCTGTCTGCAGTCTGGTCTCCTCTAATCCATCCTCCACACTGCAGCCAGAATGTTCTCACTAAGACACCAAGACTCCATCTTCCTGAGTCTACAGAGGTTCTATTGTTCTCTACATTCACTTATAGGGAGGGTGATTTCAAACAGCATGGCATGGAGTGATCTAGCCCTCATCACATCCCCTTGGCTTGGAATCACAGATATTTGAAGTCATCTTCATTTTGCTAGTGTAATTGTAGCAGTTAGCTAGTTCTGAGTAACAGTGATCCTGCAAGTCCATGGCTAACAACAGCTGCCAATTTTTTTAGCTCTCAATTCCATGCACGGGCAGTTTAGGTTGAGCTCTGCTGGTCAGTTCTTTGGGTCTCAACCATCTTCTTTGTTTGTCTGTGGTCGGCTGTGGTTGGGCTGGGCTGTCTCAGATGACTGAGGCTCATTGGGATGATTCATTTCTTCCCTCCTCCATTCGGCTAGTCTAGGACTTGTTCAGGTGGCAGAATCATGAGGCCCAAAGGAGAAGCAGAAGCAGAAGCAGAAGCAAATAATCCTATAGAGGTCTAAGTTTGGAACTGACACCACATCAGTCCTGCTGCATTCTATTGACCAATGCAAGTCATAGGGCCAGATGGATGAAGGGGTGGAAAACAAACTCCACATTTAAATAAAGGAGTGGCAAAGCCACACTGCAGTGCACAAGCTGCATCCTGAGGTGTGCATAGAGGGGTATATATGTGGCCAGTGAAGTACCACACTCTTGGCAGATGTTTTTTGGATGGATAGATGTATGGATGGATGGATAAATGGATAGCTGAATAGATGCATAGATTGGTGGATGGATAGATGGACAGATGAATGATTAAAAAAAGTGAACAAAGGAACGAAGGAATAAACAATGTACTTTGTTCTCTATGCCGGAAATGGGGACTATGACCATTTCTGCAAAGTAGCATTGTTATAGTAGTTTTGAAATTACTTGTCACCATTTTGCATACATACTATTGGCCAGAATTTGTTTTCATGGACCCGATTAACTGCAGGGAGGTTAGGAAGAAGGGTAGAACGTGAATATTGGGGAGCCTCGGTGCTGCGTGCCACAACTTAAGAGCACGTAGAGTGAATATTCACTTACCATCTCCTTTCCGAAATTCCTGCTCTGCCTTGATCCCGGTTTTCTCTTGCACTCTCCAGATGTGGATGAATGTGCAGATCCCAAATCTTGCCCAGAGCACGCGACCTGCCACAACAGTCCTGGAAGCTACTCTTGTGTCTGCAACCAAGGATTTGCTTCCAGCAGTGGAAACGTGAGGTTCCAGGGCCAGGGAGAGACGTGTGCAGGTAGGTGGAGTGGTGTGTTGGGGAATTAGGTCCAAGTCTGTTTACAAAGACAGCAATGGTGCAGAATGAGTCGGGGTGGGACTTGGCTGTGTTCGAAGACCTCATCAACAAAACTGAAGGCAATAATCATTCATGCATGCAGTCTTTGACCAAGACTTAGAGCATGTGCAACACAGCTGGTTCTATTCCAGCATGGTGGATACAGCAGTGAATAACATAGGCACAGATGTTTGTTCTCCTGAAACTTACACTCTAGTGCATGAGGAGATCAATAACAAAATATAAATGCATGAACATATTGTGTGTTAGGGAAAGTTAAAGGAGATGAAGAAATATAAGGCAGCAAAGGTCAACAGAGAGTGCCGTGAGTGGACGTCTAATTTTAACAGAGTGGTAATAAATGGCTGTGCTGAGAACTGTATATTTGAGAAAAGATGGGTACTACAGCAACGATTTTGTCCCCTCTGTGTTTGACCTCCAGTGTGGTGTGTGATACACTGTGAATATCAAACAGATTTGTGATGGATGAAGGAACATGCACCTTATTCTTTATGTCAACTCCAGTTGGAAGGACGATTCTACTGACAGGCACTAGGTTGTTTCTAATGTTTTACAGCTTCGTACAAAGCTGGGATGACATCCCGGTGATCTTCTCTTGACGTACAGTGGCCGCTCCAGTTTTCTGACTAGGAGAGGTGCGGGTGACTGGGTGGGAAACATAGGAGACTTGCCTTGAAGTTGTGTTTCCACTACAAATACACAGCAAGTGTTTGCTTACAGTGAAACGGCAGAGCAGGGTTGAAGGAGACTTGGGCAGAGGTACACGATGGTCCCACGACTGCACAGTTCCATGAGTTCCTCAATGGGTAAAATCCTAGAGGTGGCTTTGCCAGGTGTTCTAGTACTCTATGGGTGGGTAACAGACCATCTCCAAACTTGGTGACTGAAAACAGCAACAATCATTTATTTTGCTTATGAATGAATCTGCTATTTGGCCTTGGTTTGAGGAGGATGGCTTGCCTCTGTCCCACACAGTGTCAGTTGACTTGGTTCAACTGCAGGCTGGAGGAATCAGTTTGGAGAAGGCCCACTGACAAGGCTGGCAAGCTGGTGCTGGCTGTTGGTTGGCTGTTCCCCCAGGGCTGTGGCCTGCAGGTTTTCGTTCTGGTCTATGTGAGCTGCTTCTTCATGACTTGTTGGGCTTCCTCAAAACATGGCGGGTCAGTTCCAAGAATGAACATCTCAAGAGAACAAAGAAGTGCATTATTTTTTTATGACCCAGTGTGATATTTTTATGACCTAGCATGGTATTTTTACGACCTGGTGTCACTTTCACTGTAGTCACAAACATGCTCAGATTCAGATGGGAATCTAGACCCCAATGCCTCATGGATGGAGTACTGAATGCAGGGCATATGTGATGGAAAACCCTGTTTCAACCGTCTTTGGAAAATGCATTCTGCTGCACAAGTTGTGACAACTTTGCAACTCTAACTCTTTCTCTATCCAGATATAGATGAGTGTTCTAAGAAGCCCTCACCATGTGGTGCTAACTCAGTCTGCAAAAACCTGCCCGGGAAATACAAGTGCAGCTGTTTGCCTGGTTTCTCTTCTCCCACTGGAAATGACTGGAACCCGGCAAAGCCAGGTCGTTTCTCCTGTACAGGTAACGCTCTCGGCATCTCAGGTGTGGTCTTTCGGGGGCGGCTACCATTGAGTTGGATACCTGTGTTTCTCACCTTAGACATCTCATTCTTTTGTCCGCTCTCTCTCCTCCACTGCTCCTCAGACATCAATGAATGCCTCTCCAGCGGGATCTGCCCAGAGCATTCTGAGTGCACCAACTCCTTGGGAAGCTACAGTTGCAGCTGCCGAGCTGGATTCTCCTCTAGAAACTCCATCTGTGAAGGTAAAGAGGACCTGCCCTCCTCATTTACCTGCTCAATTAACAATCACCTCAATTGATGATGCTATGAGGTAGGGGTCGCTATCCCCAGTTTAGGAGTGAGAACATTGAGGCTCAGAGAGGTGAAGTGACTTGCCCAAGGATGCACAGCTATTAAGTGGAACAACCAGGATGCGAACTTCTGTTGAGGGCCCATCGTGAGTTAAGCAGTGGGTCAGGCAGTACTTGAGAGTAATGGGGGACTCTGTCCCTGGAACGATTTTCTCCTCAGGGGACACTAGAAACGTCTAGAGACATTTTTGATTGTCACACTGGTGGTGGTGGTGGGGTTGTGTGTGCTACTGTCATCAAGGGAGTAGAGGCCAGAGATGCTGCTAAACACCCTACAATGCACAGTACTGCCTCCCACAACCAAAAATGATCTGGTCCCAAATGTCAGTAGGGCTGAGGTAGAGACACCCTGTGCTCGGGAGAGCTGAGACCCAGATCTCGGAACTTTTTCCCAAAAGGTATTTGAATTAAGGCCTGAGAGTGACTCTCATCCCTCTCCCCTTCTGTATTGTCGGTCATCATGTCTTGGGGATTCTACCTGCTAATCGTGTCTTGAATCTCATCAGACTTCTTCCTCCTTCACTCAGGCTTCATATTTACTGCAGCAGCATCCTCACTTGTCTCTCCCTGTCTCCAGTCTTCTCCCCTCAAGTCCCTCCTCTACACTGCCTCCAGAATGTTCTCACTGAGACCCCGGGTCTCCATCCTCCTGAGTCCACTGAGGATCTATTGCTCCCTACGTTCACTTACAGGGATCGTGACTCCATCCAGAGGGGTTTGGAGTGATCAAGCCGTCATCACAGCTCCTGGGCTTGGATTCAGAGATATTTGAAGTCATGTCTCATTGTTCTGGTCCATTTGTAGCAGTTATCTATTGCTGAGTAACAAATTACCCTGAAAGTCAATGGCTTAAAACAACTACTGTTTATTTAGCTCTTGACCCCATGCATTGGCAGTTTAGCTATGGCTCTAGTGGTGAGTTCTTTGGGTCTCAACCATTCTTTTTCCTGTGTCTGTGGTCAGCTGTGGTTGGCCTGGGCTATCTCCGATGACTGGAGCTCATCCGAGCTGATCCATCTCTCTTCCTCTTTTTCGTTGTTCATTAGTCTAGTCTAGGACTTGTTCGGGTGAGAGAATCAGGAATCCCAAAGCATGAGCAGAAGCAAATAATCCTCTGGAGGTCTGAGTTTGGAACTGGTACCACATCACTTCCGCTGCATTCTACTGACCAGTGCAAGTCATAGGGCCAGCTGGATGAAGGGGTGGAAAACAAACTCCACGTTTAAATAGAGGAGTGGCAAAGTCACATTGCACTGCACAAGCTGCATCTTGAGGTGTGGATAGGGTTGCATATAAGTGGCCAGAGAAGTATCACACTCTCGGAAGTTATTTTCTGGATGAATGAATAGGTGGATAGATGTATGGATGTATGCATAGATAGAGGGGTAGCTGAATAGATGCATAGATTGATGGATGGATGGATGGATAGCTGAATAGAGGCATAGATTGATGGATGGATGGATGAGTGCATAGATGGATAGCTGAAGAGATGCATAGATTGATGGATGGGTGGATGGATGGATTGATGCTTAAAAGAAATGAACAAAGGAAAGGAATAAACAGTGTACTTTGTTCTCTATGCCGGAAACGGGGATCTTGACCATTTCTGCAAAGTACCATTGTTATAGTAGTTTTGATGTTACTTGTCACACTTTTGCTTACATATTATTGGCCAGAACCTATTCTCATGGAGCCGCGGGACTGCAGGGAGGTTAGGAAGAAGGGTAGAACGTGAATATTGGGGAGCCTCGGCGCTGCGTGCCACAACTTAAGAGCACGTAGAGTGAATATTCACTTACCATCTCCTTTCCGAAATTCCTGCTCTGCCTTCATGCCGGTTTTCCCTTCCACTCTCCAGATGTGGATGAATGTGCAGATCCCAAATCTTGCCCAGAGCACACGACCTGCCACAACAGTCCTGGAAGCTACTCTTGTGTCTGCAACCAAGGATTTGCTTCCAGCAGTGGAAACGTGAGATTTCAAGGCCAGGGAGAGACATGTGCAGGTAGGTGGAGGGGTGTGTTGGGGAATTAGGTCCCAGTCTGTTTACAAAGACAGCACTTGTGGAGCACGAGTCAGGGTGGGTCTTGGCTGTGTTTGAAGACCTCATCAACAAAACCTAAGGCAAGAATCATTCATTCATTCATTCATGCATGCAGTGTTTGACGAAGACTTAGAGCATGTGCAACACGGCTGGTTCTATTCCGGGGATGGTGGATACAGCAGTGAATAACTCAGGCACACATGTTTGTTCTCCTGGAACTTACCCTCTACTGTGGGAGGAGATGAATAACAAAATATAAATGCATGCACATATTGTGTGTTAGGGAAAGTTAAAGGAGATGAAGAAATACAAGGCAGCAAAGGTCAACAGAGAGTGCCGTGAGTGGACGTCTAATTTTAACAGAGTGGTAGGAAATGGCTGTGCTGAGAACTGTATATTTGAGAAAAGATGGGTACTACAGCAACGATTTTGTCCCCTCTGTGTTTGACCTCCAGTGTGGTGTGTGATACACTGTGAATATTAAACAGACATTTGAAGGATGAAGGAACATGCACCTTATTCTTTATGTCAACTCCAGTTGGAAGGACGATTCTACTGACAGGCACTAGGTTGTTTCTAATGTTTTACAGCTTCGTACAAAGCTGGGATGACATCCCGGTGATCTTCTCTTGACGTACAGTGGCCGCTCCAGTTTTCTGACTAGGAGAGGTGCGGGTGACTGGGTGGGAAACATAGGAGACTTGCCTTGAAGTTGTGTTTCCACTACAAATACACAGCAAGTGTTTGCTTACAGTGAAATGGCAGAGCAGGGCTGAAGGAGACTTGGGCAGAGGTACACGATGGTCCCACGACTGCACAGTTCCATGAGTTCCTCAATGGGTAAAATCCTAGAGGTGGCTTTGCCAGGTGTTCTAGTTCCCTATGGGTGGGTAACAGACCATCTCCAAACTTAGTGACTGAAAACAGCAACAATCGTTTATTTTGCTCATGAATGAATCTGCTATTTGGCCTTGGTTTGAGGAGGATGGCTTGCCTCTGTCCCACACAGTGTCAGTTGACTTGGTTCAACTGGAGGCTGGAGGAATCAGTTTGGAGAAGGC